CCCGGTACCAAAAAAAAAATCATGGTGACTTACCTTAATCTTCATCTGATTGTCATCACTTCTTCCCTAACCAGCTTCCATTTCATTGCCCATAAATTCAACCATTCTTTTGCCAACATCTTCAACTGCCTTGTCTTTCACAGGTGTATGGAGTGGTCTGAATTCTGTACCTCTCATTATTATCTTCCTCCCTGTTAGAAAGAATGAGTCAGTTCTTCTCAATTATGCTGATATTTCCCTTCTTTCTGCTTGAAAATTCTATACCAGTATGTCAATTTACAATTAATTTTCATTTTTATTTTTTGGTACCGGGGATCGAACTCGGGTCCTTGTGCTTGCGAGGCAAGCAGCGGGACCACTGAGCTAAATCCCAGGCCCAATTTACAATTAAAATACAAAATACAAGGGAAGATAGTAAAAGACAATAAATGCTCACTTTTATTGAATAAATGTTGAATTATAGAAAACTTCCTAATAGTATCTTAAAATTTGAGCATGTTTTTCAAAATCTAACTTTATATTAGGCTTAAATTTGAAATGGCTAGGCTGGGCATGGTGGTACATGGTACATGCCTATAAACCCAGCACTGGAGTCTGAGGCAGGAGGATCACCATGAGTTCAAGGCCAGCTTGAACTACATAGATCCTGTCTCAAAAAAAAATTAAAATTATACAAATCTTGTGACCAAGACTTTAATAATGACTCTTTGAAGTCTTAATAGTTTCCATGAAGAGAAATTTTAAATAACCACTTAATATCTATAATTTACAAACTTTTTTTTTTTTGGTACTGGGGATCAAACTCGGGACCTTTTGCTTGTGAAGCAGGCAGTGGAACCAGTGAGCTAAATCCCCAGCCCTGTTTTTTCTTTTTCTCATGGACAAATATAACAGATATATCATGACAATCCAGGAGAATTTTGAATCTAAATGAACTTTTTTTAATTTCAAAAATGTCAAAATAAAGATGGAGCTCTAATTTGCATGGCTAGACCACCCCCCCTACAACTGACCTTGACAGCACAGGAAGTACACATCATTTACAAAGATCCAGACCTATGCCAATTAATGTAAAGACTGAGGTTCGGAGGTGCTCCCTTGGGCTACTCCCCACAGCACCCCTATCCCAAAATGCTTGCACTTCCCCCATACCAGCTGCACTCTGGGATCCCTGCTACATGTCCAGGGCATCTGGAACATGAATATCTTCACCTGCCTCACAGGCACTTTGCCTACAAAAGGCAACAAGGTGTTTTGGGCCAAGTTTTCTGAGATTCAGGATGAAGAAGAAAGAGCTGAATGTTGCCCATCATTCTCATCACCTGTAGGGTACCAGGGCAAGCCATTAGACTGTTTCCTTTTAGCTACCCTCAGAAGACCCCAAAGAAGACTATTCAAGGTGCAGGCCCATGGACTCTGCCCACAACCCATCTAGGGGCCAGAGAGTTATCAACAGCATGTGGCAGACCCTGTAACACATTCTTGGGGACTCCAGTTGAGAGATACGCATTGTGCTATTATCCCCTCTGGCCCTTATTTTCAACTTTTCTCCTGTTTTGTCTTCTACATTTGCCAATTAAAATCAAGTCTATACAACTTAAAACAAAAATTCATCTTTACCCATTCCTCATTTCTCCCTCCAGCTACCATTTATGTCTGTTTTCTCCAAGCCGCTAAACTTCTGGAAGTAGTCTACACTTTTCACATTATCCCCATTCTTTTCTCAACTGATTGTAATCTAGATTTTCATGGAACTACACTGGCAAAAGTTATAGATAACTAAACATTAAATAAAGCAATCAGAAGGTTATCAGTCCTTATTAGCATTTGATACATTCTTCTAGCCTTCTATGACATTACATTTCAAGGAATAAATATATATTGGGCACTGGCTAGCCTATGGTGAACACATAAGGCACAATCTCTGTCCTAATTGAATACAAATGGAAATATGTTGAAAAATTGATTATCAAAGTGCAAGAGTTCCTCTGAAAAGACTTCCATGATACTGAAATCAAGAAGAAATTTATCACTTTGGTTTAATATATATAAATTATTGAGTAAACTATGCCTTTAATTTAAAAAATAATGTCTTAGTGCATGCCTGTAATCCCAGCACTTGGGAAGCTGAGGCAGGAGGATTGCTAGGAGTTCAAGGCCAGCCTGGACTACATAGTGAGTTCAAGGCCAGCTTGAACTACATAGTGAGACCCTGTCTCAAACAAACACACATTTGATTAGTGCAAACATCTCATGGTGATTTCATTGGCTCTTAATGCTCTTAATTTGGTTTTTTGGGTTTTTTTTTGGCACCAGGGATTGAACTCGGGTCCTTTCACTTTCAAGGCAGGCAGCAGAACCACTGAGCTAAATCCCCAGCTCTAATGCTCTTAATTTGGAAGCATTGATTTAATTTAATCCAGGAAGACAGATTTCTGGTGATTTCACAATTCAAGAGCATCAAGGATCTGAACTGACTAATAAATCTCTCAATCTTTTGACTTAAGATGTGTTATGTACATGTACTAACTCCAGACAAGGAATGTAAACATTATGTACTGCGAAGGTACACACACACAGAAACACACACACACAAGGGAAGGGGATCAAGAGAGTGTGGGAGGGAAGGAAGGGAAAGGGGATTTTTTTTTTTTTGGTACTGGGAGTTGAACTCATGACCTTATGATTCCCAGGCAGGCACAGCACCACCCAGCTACATCCCTGGCCCTGAAAAGGGGATTTTAAAAAGGAATTAGGATGTATTACGTACATATACCAACTCCACACAAGGAATGTATTACAAACATGTACTAATAAAAAAATTCTGAAGCCTTTATCAAATGTTGAATCAATTTCCAGGAAGACTCTGGATCTTACTGAATTTATGTTTGAATTCTTTGTTTCACTGTCCAAATTATCAAAGGACTCAAAAACTTTTGAATGGCCGGGGATTTAACTCAGTTGTTCCACCACCTGCCTCACAAATGGAAGGACCTGAGTTCGATCCCTGGTACCAAACCAAACCAAACCAAACCCAACAAAACAAAAACTTTTGAATGTCAGCACAAACACAAAATGACAATTTACTATGAAGAGTAATTTCATTTTGAAGCAGAAAAAAATAACAGGATGCTTTGAATAATTTATTTATTTACAGTACAGGAGACTGAATCCAGGGCCTTTGCACTGAGCTACATCTCCAGTCCTTTAAAATGCAAAACAACAACAAAAACTTTCAAAAGACATACTCTGGCTAGCCCAGTGTGGTAATGCATGCCTGTAATCCCAGCACTCGGGAAGCCAAAGCAGGAGGATCACCACAAGCTTTAGTTCAGGGCCAGCTTGAATACAAAGTAAGAACTGTCTTAAACAAACAAAAAGGAATCTTGCTAAATTCCCCAGGCTGGGCTGAAACTTGTGAGTCTTCCTGCCTCAGCCTCCCAGAGAGCTGGGATTAAAGGTGTATACCAACACTGGCTGCCTTGAATGTTTTAGAATTTTACTTTTTCTCACAGAAAGAGCTCCATAAGGTGTTAACAGGCCAATTTATTAATTGTTGAGAAATTGGTGGGCAATAGAAAATATACTCATCAATACACAATGTGTTATGCACCTGGCTTAGCAAATACAAAGAATATGATAAAACTGGATTCTGGACTCTCCCGATCTAGTCAGAAAGGAAAGAAAAAGCAGGTTTTGTATTAGTATAAAACTCATCTAGATTGTCTTTTAATCCTTCCTTCCTTCTCCCTTTCTCTTTTCCAAAGTTACCTAACCCAGCCTCCAATTTGTGATCCTCCTGCCTCTGCCTCCCAAGTGCTGGAATTTCAGGTGCACACCACTACGCCCCATAGGCTGTGCTTATTGGTGTGAGGCTCAAAGGTTCAAGGCCAAGACATCTGTGCATGCAAGAGCTAAAAAAAGCTCTTAAGGAAAAAAACACAAGGTTGAATTTATCTTTTAGATGGTTTCTTAAATATGTTTGCAGCAGAATATGTCTGGAATAGCTCAAAAGGCAGTTAAAAATATGAAATGTGGACAGTGGCAAAGGTGCTCAGAGAGAGATGAGAAATCCGACAGGTATTTAGGAGTTGATGAACCAGCTTAGGACTGGACTGTTCACTGTTGTATTACCAGTAAATCACAGTACCTGGTTCAGAGCAGGCATTCAACATTGTGGAATGAATGAAAGAAAATGAACGAATGAGCACACCATGATGGCAGGCACCTCTGATCGGCAAATTTAAACCCATCTCGGGCAATTTAGCCGGACCTTGTCTCAAAATATTTTTAAAAGGGTTGGAGATGTAAATCAGAGCTCTGGTTCAACCCCTAGTAACTCCCCCAACACACACACACACAGAATGGTGGTTGACTAAGTGTAGCAGTATGTCAGGAGCCCTACAAATAAATGCTCCCCTTAATAGAAACCAAGTGCTTAAATCCCTTTTCAGATTGTTTTAATCCTACCAACCCTTTGAGGTAGGCACTATTTCTATTATTCAGATGGGTAAACTCGGAAGCTCACAGAGACAATGCATCCTGCCTGAGAGTCTACAAGTCAGAAACTAGACTCGACCGACAGCCAAGGACTCCTGCTTAAAAATTACACTGCTTAGCCTAGACAGAGGCTTACCGAGTGTAATGATTACGTAAAGGCTACAAGCAGGAAAATCCAACCAAAGTCGGCAAGAGGATAAACGGGCCTTCTGGAACGTTCGTGCCACCCTGTCACAAGGCGACCAGCGACGTGCGTCACAAGAACTCAAAGCTTCCACAGAGGTCCCAAAAGGGGGCGGAGCTTGGCTCCCGGAGCGCCGCTACCACCAGCGCAGTCGCAGTGCAGCTCGAGAGCAACAAGGCCTAGGATAGAAGGGAGGGCCGAGCGAAAGAGGGCGTGACATCTGTCTAGGCGCAAGCGCAACGCGCATCCATCCATTCCGAGGCTGCTCGGCGTTCACACCACAGAGAGGTGACGTCATTTCCTGCCGCAGGTAGTCAGTGCTTCCGGGTCGCAGTCACTTTGAGCCCGTATCTGGGTGACTTTTAGGCAGAGGCTTAGCAGTCCGTCCCTTCCCCTTTGCCGTGGTTTGGCGCAGATTGTGCCTGCCCTACCGCCTGTACGTTCTTCTCCTAGCTTCTGCCCCTGATCGCTTGGGCTCCTTGCGCTGTGGCCGCTGCATTTGGGAGGTGGGTGAGGTGGCATAGAGAGCCCCGGTTTGGCCCTTCCCCCACCCATCCATTCACCACTTTCTCGCGAGTGGCCTCCAATTTGCCCCTTCCGCCATTTTCCTGCCTACTAAGGTGGACTAACTGCCCGTTGGGTCTCGCGCTTTTGAGTGCTGGTTACCGCAGGAGGCGAGGGACTGTTTCTGGGGCGTGCAGGTGGGAGAAACTCGTGGTGACTCACTAGAGGCAGGTGGGTCTGAATCGGTTTTGATGGGTGGTAGATAGAGTGAGGGAGTGGACAGTCAGGCCAGTGAAGGTTCATTTCAGAATTTTTCTTTAGATTGGCGAGCTTAAAATGGTGTCTAAGAGCCCTTGTCAACCTTAACAGTCTATAAGAAAGATGCTGTTGGTGGGAAATGAGAGGGATTTATTTGTCTAATATGGTTTTAAAATGTAACCAGTTTACTCAGAAGGCTTCGTCGGTCTATGAATTCGATTTACCCTATTCCTTTTCCCTAAAGAATTGGCATGTCGTAGGCCTTCGATGTTGTCTTGTTTACTAAAGGAATTACGGATGGGCCCAGTTGTCATCCTCTGTATACCATTTTCTGTTTTCATGTAAAATTTTTTAAATGAAAATAATCAACCTGATACTGTGCTTTAAAATACAGTTATCTGTGGTGCTGGTCTCTTAAATCCTGAGATACGGGTTTTTAAAAACCCAACTAAATGAAAAAATTAAAACAATATTTTTGGAATGCTGTGCATCTTTAATCTCTTGTATTGGTACAAAAGTAATTTGAAGATTATTTGGAGAGAGGGAGGAAAGTTTGGAAGATAGTTTGCTATAGACCTTAACATCACAGAAGGATATGACGTCTTTGTTCAATTTTTTTTTCTCTTTTGAGTACTGTTTTGTGGGAGAGGTTGCATGTTTCCTGATTATTTTAAAACTGGAAACAGAAAAGATCTTCTTTGGGGGGAAATTACCCAAATCATGTAGGATAGATTTCTGAAAGGACCAAGACATGGGATAATGTGAAATAAGCCACTTCAAGAGGGAAAATGTCAGTTTTATTGGTATCTTTTAATATTTTAACCTTATTCATCAACTGGTAAATACTGATAACACCTCATCTTTTTCAGCTAAGGGACCAAAGATGAATAATGAGTCCAGATTAATTTGTAGGTTTATGATGTTTTTATTTTTATGTCAGATACTTAAGATGTAGTAATTTTTAGTAAATGTATTTTAAATTGCCATGTAAACCAATAATTTCACTATTATCTGCATTTGCTTCAAACTATCATGATATTTCTTAATAGCTAATGTAAATGTTTTTGATACAGGAAAGATGAATGGGCGGGCTGATTTTCGAGAGTCGAATGCAGAAGTTCCAAGACCAGTTCCCCGTAACTATCATATTAAGTATTTATAATTGGAAGCACTTGCTATGTAAAGAAAATTTCATTGCCTGAGTAACAGTAGCAGCTGGACTAGCTTCATGAGGCAGTCACACAGGGCCCCAGATTTGGTTTAATGTTAGCTCTACTCTTGCCATCTTGAAATTCTTAGTAATTTCAGTAAAGGCTCCTGCATTTTGATTTTGCACATGGTCAAGTACATTATGTAGCCAATTCTGACTAGCAGGTAGTAGTACTAAATTCTGTTTGAAGTCCAAGTTTGCTAAAAGTTTACAAGCCAATTGTTTCATTACTTGATTTTTTTAAAAATGCTGGATGTCTTTCGTTAATATTTATACTAAGCTAATTTTCAGTCTTGGATTTATTGGTATTTTATTATTTTCCAATTTTCCTTGGTAAAAAGTCATAGGGGCTGATTACATTCCGACAGAGGAAGAAAGAAGAATGTTTGCAGAATGCAATGATGAAAGCTTCTGGTTCAGATGTGAGTTCAGTTTTCTTATCACATAATTTGATCCAAAATTTGTACCTGAAATTTTAACCTGCATTTTTATTTGAAGTTAGAGTAACTCCATACAGAAAAAATTTGGCACACTTTGTCTTAGTATGGTTGTTGCTAAAAGAGATTTAGGAAATAGAGGTATGCACATTTTAAAGTCGTTGCAGAATTTTTTTCAAAACCATGAGCCAGTTTTGTGAATAATAGTAATAATATGTACATGAATTTTATAAAAACAATTCCATGAGGTTGATAACTACTGCCCTTACTTTATAGATGGAGACATTGAGGTTTAGAGATGTTAAAAACAATATTAAATGTTAAAAGCAATATATAAAATACAGTCTTCTTTTAAACAAAACCCAGGTATTACTTCACCTGGGAACTATAGTCCTTTACAGTTGTGATGTGGTAATTGGAACAGAAGGGCTGGGTGGAATTTTTTTTTTTTTTTTTTTTTTTTGGTACCAGGGATTGAACTCGGGACCTTGCACTTACAAGGCAGGTGCCGGAACCACTGAGCTAAATCCCTGGCCCCTGGGTGGAATTTTAACATGCAAGGGAGCAAATTGCTAAGGAAGGTATATCTTTTCATCAGCCCAATATATGTACTTATTATGTACTAGATACTTTGCTTGGAAGACAAGTTTTATGAAATAGTCTTTATCCTAATGTAGTCGAAACAAAACTAACACATGAAACATACAGAAAAAGGTGATGTTTCATAGCTACAGTAAGAATTTTAAGAGGTAAATTAATTGTAATTGAGCAAAGGAAGAATCTACAATAACTTGATCATTGTTAGAGCCTTGAGGCTGAACTGATAAAACAGAAGCCTTTCTTGGGAATAGAAGGTAAAACAGTAGTGAGGAGCTAAAAGTTTTATCTTACAGGTTTTAGGTTCTTGGGCAGTAAGAATGATGTAAGTTTGTTTTCAGAGGAAGATTAGTATGCATTGTAGGTTAGAAGAATGAGAAGTTGTACTTGGTGAGATCTTCTGTGAGATTTTGGTGATAACTAAGGCATATAGTTGTTGAGAAGTAGTTGACTATATTGCCATTTGGACTGGAGAAAATGGGTTGGTGATGAAAGATTTTTGAAAGGACATGTAATAAGATTTCAAAAAGATTGACTAAGGGGGAATGAAGGAAAAGAGTCAGGTAATAACTTCAAGATAGTCCAGTTTATGACATTACTGATTAAAAAGTACAGTTAGAATTTTTTGTTTGTAGAAAGAAACAAATTTAGTATGATCATTTTGTATTCATGGTGCAACAAATTATCTTCCAAGTCTTGATGACATAGGATTAAGGAAAAGACACGTCTGGTGATAGTTTGGGATCATTGTAATATTAATGCCAGTGGTTATTTTTTTGGCTGATAAATTTATGCCATTGCATGTTTAACATTCTAAACAGCTGTAACATTTTGCTAAAAGTACATTAAAGCACATTGATGTATAGGCAGGGTTTCTATGTATGTATGACTTAATAATAGGACAATGTGGTATATGAACAGTAAGAAATAAGTAATTTTTGTATATTAAAACAGATTAATCCCAAATTGAAGAGGCAAAAAGCATGTACTAAGGACAGGCTAAAAAAATAGCTTGTTTTTTTTGTTGTTGTTGTTTGTTTGATACCAGGGATTGAACTCGAAAAAAAGCTTATTAATTGTATATTATATCTGGTTTACTGGGAAATTAGAGCAGTAAAAAAATTAACAACCAGCAGTAGTTACAAAAGCAGTTGACCTTTTTTTTTTCTTTCTTTTGGTGGAACTCAGAGCTTTTGCACTGAGCTGCATCCCTAGTCCTTTTTTAAATTTTGAGACAGGGTCTGTTAAATTGTTATGTTGCCCAGGCTGAGCTTGAACTTGTGATCTTCCTGCCTCAGCCTCAGTGTGCTGGGAATACAGGCATGTAACCCCCGTGCCTGGCCAACAATTGACTCTTAAAGCAGAAATAACTTAGCTGTTGCATATTATAACATCAAACATTCAATACGTAGAAAACTATAGCTGTAACCAGATGGTAGGAAATTCAACATATAATTATCAAGAGAACTTGATAGTCACGTGTTAGAAAATTTTGTAGTTTTTGTATCTTCAAAAAAGGTATTCCAAGTAGTATGTGAAATTTCCATATTATGTATATGTGCTGCCGAAGCGAGCACAAATTTCCATATTATGTAAATGAATAATGGAATTCATGTTATTCTGGAGAGTATCAACTTGGGGCTGTTAATGAGAAGGTGGTGAGGAAAGCAGGAATATGTAGACGAGTACTGATGGTAACTTTTACACCTTTTTGAGGTCTGTTAAATATATTCATCTTGGTTTAAAATTGGACTTGTTGATTTAGACTTTCTTTTAAGATAACTTTGTTTCTTCTCTGATCTAGTTTCTGTTAATCTTTTTTTTTTTTTTTTTTTTTGGTACTGGGGATCGAACTCAGGCCCTTGCGCTTGCACAGCAGGCGGCGAAACCACTGAGCTAAATCCCTGGCCTTTCTGTTAATCTTAAAGTATAACTATGAAGGTAACTTATTTCCAATTGTTTAAAATTTGGCCCTACTTGCTGCCCAAAAACTAATGTGTGCTCAAACACACACAGGTAGTGGAAAAATAAATCCATAAAAGATCAACTTAATTGCATATTATAGTGGTTCTCAACTTCCGGAATTATTGAAAAGTCATACTAATTCCAATTTGCATCAGTTTTAGATTGTATGAAAATATTTCATACATATGCACCACTGGGTTTCAAATGAGAAGTATGATCAAGGAGAACATGGACTCTGGACCCCACCTGACTCTCTGAATTCAAATCCCAGATAGTAGCTGTGAGATTTTGGACAAATTCCTGTCTGTGTTTTGTTTCCTTATCTGTAAAACAGGGACAATAACTACCTATCACATGAAATTGTTATGGGGATTAATTCAGTTAATTTGATTTAATTATATAAATGTTGGCTCTCTTTATTAAATGGCTGTTGATGCTATTGTGATTAATGAAATAAAAGTTTCTGTTGAAAATTGTGAATTTAGAGTAGCATTTTATTGTGAAGGGAGAAGAGTTCAAGGAATTTCACAGATCTTTGTATTGGATATGGTTGGGACTGTGCTCCTAAAGCAGAATAGGTTTTGGTCAGCAGTAGTTTTGATTTGCCTAAGGAAACATTACATTATATTAACAAATAGGAGTCACATACTATAAAGGACTCTCATGACATGGGAGTAAGATTTGAGTTCTGATTGAGTTGTATTACAAATTAAACATTTGTGTTGTTTTGAGCTATGACTTTGTAGATATCAGTTTATTCTGATTAAGCAGTCTAGATAACCTTTGAAGTCTTTTCAGTTTTACTATTATATAAGTTGGACGGAGACCATAGGCCTAAACCATTATCACTTTATAGCATGAGAAGTTAAGAGATATATGCAAACAGGATGAATGGAAGAACTAGTGCTAGAATCTTCTTAATCTGTTACTTTTTGCATTGACTGAAGAAACATTGTCCATTGTAGAGATGGCTAACTAATTCATCACCTTTTATCCTTATATAATTCTTCAGTGCTACGTGTTGCAATCCTTGAACCAAGCTGAACTGATGCTGTAATTTAAAGGGATTTGTCCTTTGAAAAACCTTAAATGATAATACATGAAGCCATTCTAACCAGCCAACATTAAAGAAAACATTTTCCCAACCAAGGTAAAATCTGGTAGTAAGTAGAATAGTAAGGAGTCAAACCTTAGGGTTTCTGCAAATTGTGCCTAATGGTGGAGCCCTATTCCAAAGTTAGTGGATTTTAATCATAACGTTTCTCTAACAATTCAAATGTCTCAGTTATTTCAGTGCTTAAATTGCCCATGTATAATTTAAACCATAGTTGAGGAAACTACAGACCATGGATCAAATCTTTTTGTATGCAGTGAACTAACAGTGGTTTTTAAATTTTGAAATGATTAAGGAAAAAAAAGGAGGAAGATGGTTTCATTCCATGTACAAATTACCTAATGTTAATATTTTTGCATCCATAAATAGTTTTATTGAAACACAGTCATGTTAATTTGTTTACGTATTGTCTGTACCTTTGCCATAAAACAGTAGTTGAGTAGTTAGGACAAACACTGAATGTACCACAATGGCCCAGTACTTATCATCAGGCTCTTTTTTTTTTTTTTTTAAATTTTATTGGTATCAGGCTCTTTATAGAGCAATTTGCCAACCCCTGGTTAGGAACAGCACTGTTCACCATGGTAGCCACTGACCACATGTAGTTATTTAAATTAATTTACAGTGAAAGGATGCAAAGCAAAACAGGAAAAGAAGCATGAGGTGAAGTCCAGAGGAAGCCAGGTGCAAGCTTCTAAGGGTCTTCTTCCAGTGGAGCCACACACAAAGGACATGTTTAATTTGTCTGCCTCCCAGTAACAGCTCTTGTAAGTGTTGTGTTATCATAGAATGTCACTAGAAGCTCAATGTCAGGGCTTTTTTAAAATTGGGGGCTGGTCATGTAGGCACTCTCAGCCTAATATGTACCTAAATACCAGACTCTCAGATAAAAAGCAGTTGTTCAGTGTGAATTGTGTTTGTATAAACAGGTTAGGCATAGCGAGCCACTTCTGTCAATGTAGGGAACTGTTTATTAGTCAACTTCTCAGACCAAGTTACTTGCCACATTGGAGGCAGCTAAGGACCAACTCCCATCCTTGCAGAAAATTCTGTTACTGCTTGTGTAGAGAACAGTGATTCATAGCTGTTTTTAAGATGTAAGTCCCTTTGAAATTGTGATTCTCGCTTTGGATATTTTACTGTAGGTTAATAGGCATATACACATAATATTTCCATATAGTCTTAAGGAATATTTAAAATATATGCTTTTTAATTCTTGCCCCAGGTACCATATGATTACAGTCAAATGTATTTTGGTTCATTGTAATACCGAGTTTAAAAGCTTGAGATCTGGTATTAGATTTCATTAGATTCTGAGACCTGCCCCTGAACTAGCTGTATGCCCGTGAGCAATTTCTTAACATCTCTAATCCTCAGTATCCTTATCTTTAAAGGGCTGATAGTATTATCTAGTTTGTAAATACTGTGATAAAAAGCAAATGAGACAATGCACTAAGGCACTTAGCGCCTTGCATGGAATTTTGTCTTTACTCAGTAGCAGCTTATTTATAATTTGTTTCTAGCCTCTCCTTTATCTTGTTTTCCCTCTTTTTCTAACTTCAGAAGTCAGTTTTAACAGTGTTGTCTTTTTTTTTTTTTATTAAATTGGCTTTGTTTTTATTTTTGTTTTTTGTGTTTTTGAAGGGGTTTGTTTTGTTTTGTTTTGATTTTTTGGTTTTTTTGAGTCAGGGTCTCCCTTTGTAGTTCAGGCTGGCCCTGAACTCACTATGTAGCCCAGGCTGGCCTCAAACTTGCTGCGATCCTCCTGCTTCAGCCTCCCGAGTGCTGGGATTAACAGGGGTGCGCCGCCACAACCAACAACAGCATTGTCTTACTTGATTATTAATGTATTGCTACCTCTCTCAGAACATAAGTCTATATGGTTCTTGAGTTATGTTGTTTAATTTGTAATGTTTTTATGAGTTTTGTTTTGTTTTTTTGGACACAGGGTCTCGCTGTGTAGCCCAGGCTGGCCTCAAATTCACAGCAATCCTCCTGCCTCAGCCTCCCAAGTCCTGGGGTTATGGCATTATTTTTAATTTAAAATGCTCTAAGTTTTTAAACATCTGTGTACACAATACAACTTTTAAAATGAATCTGGGTTTTTTTGTTGTTTGTTTTAATTCTTAGTACTGGGAATCAGACTCAGGGCCTCGAGCTTGCCAGGCAGGCTCTATGCGGCTGAGCTACATCCTGGACCTAAAATGAATCTGTTTTAAAAGATCTTAGTTGTAAAGTTTATTCTTAGATGGTTTTGCTGATACTCATTTCCTAATGAACTCAAGATAAACATTTTTTCCTTTTGTTAATATTGACAAGTTCATTTTCTTCCTAGCTGTGCCTTTGGCTGCCACAAGTATGTTGATTACTCAAGGACTAATTAGTAAAGGTAAATATGTAAACTTTAAATTTATTTAGTTTTTTGGATATCATGTTTATTTTTGTGATTCTTAAATAAGGAAAGATGATTATCTTATTAAGTGTGATCATTGGTGGATTTCTCCAATATTAGAAAAGTTTTGTCTATGTGGAATCACTAGATCCATTATCTTGATTTGAGAATTTGATACTGTCCTGCACAGAACATCATTAACAATCTGAAAATGCAAGAAAATAACTAAACTTGTGGATAGTTTGTAGGTAGAGCAACAAACCTAGTTTAGGTGGGTGCCTCAGCAGCTACACTCTTTGTTAGAAATGCAAATTCGTAGGCCCCATTCCATACCTAGTCAGAATCTCTGAAGTCCTAGAATCTGTGTTCTAACAAACCCAGGTGATTCTCAGGCATTGGTTTAAAGAATAGTAGCTGCCAGGCCTAGTGGTGCATGCCTGTAATTCCAGCACTCTGGGAAGCTAGGGCAAGGGAATCACAAGTTCAAGTCGTGCCTGTACAACTTAGTGCGAGACCTTATCTCAATAATAAAATAATCAAGAACTCAAAAAATAACATATGTTGGCAAGGCTATGGGGAAAAAGAAACCCTTCTACATTGTTGAAGTATAAACTGGTACAACCACTATGGAAATTGGTATAGACATTCCTCAAAAAACTAAAATTAGAAATTCCAGTTTACTCAAGTATTTCCTTTCTAGGTTTCTTAAAGAGTTAAAGACATCGGGGCCAGGGATTTAGCTCAGTGGTTTCGCTGCCTGCTGCACAAGCGCAAGGACCGGAGTTCGATCCCCGGTACCCAAAAAAACCAAAACAAAACAAAGAGTTAAAGACATCATATTACAGTGATACATGCATACCCATGTTTATAGAAGCACAACTTATAATAGCTAAATCTTGGAAGCAGCTTATATATCCTTTAGCAGATGAATGAATAAAGAAAATGTATATATGCACGGTGGAGTGCTACTTAGCCCTAAAGGATAAATTTGAGTCATTTATGGGAAAATAGATGCACCTTGAGACCACAAAGCTTAATGAAATAAGATACAGAGCCTTAAATAGTACATGGTTTCTCTTATATGAGAAACCCAAAGTATAATTTAAAGAGAAAAAAGAAAGCAGAGAGGTGAATCTTTTGCAAACAAATGGGAAAGGGGATCTTGAAATGGAAGGAGAGGAGATCAAGGGGAAGTAAAAAGGATTAAAATGCAATACCAACTCCCAAAGGTGAATGTATTCAATATGTATCGCAAACATGTATTACTTTTTTCTTTTTTTTTTTTCCTGGTACCAAGGATCGAACTCCAGGACCTTGTGCTGCAGGCACAGCGCCACTGAGCTAAATCCTGGGCCCAACATGAATTACTTTTTAAAAAGGACCAGGAATATACTTCACTGTGAAGGTCCTGTGACGGGACATACCTCATTGTGAAGACCAATAGCTTTCTAAACCAACATCACCTGCGAGTTGGGGCTGAGAATGAGTTAGCATTTAAAAGAGTAGTAAGCCTCGGAGGGAACCAGCAAGTAATCTATTTTTTAACAAGCCTCCAAAGAGAATTTCTAGTCTTAAATTTTATTGGCCTAAATGGTATAGTATATCCCTGTGGATTAAGTATTATCAGTCTCTATATCTTAAAATTTGGTGATACAGGTGATGTTCATTACATGTACTTAAGTGTACTATCTGCCTGGTATATCTTGTATCTTGGAAGATGTTCCAGAAAAGGTTGGTGACCTTAAAATGGTTTCCAGATATCCTAAATGCTTGTTAATTGGCTCTTCCAAAAATGTGACTATGATAGGACCTTTGAAGCCCTTTTACATTAGTAGTATCAAGTACATAAACAGTAGTCTTGATAAAAACTGGTTACTAAAAGTTTTGACCTGGGCATGGTGGCACTCACCTATGATCCCAGCACTCTGGGAGGATGAGGCAGGAGGATCATGAATTTGAGCTTAGTTTTGGCAACTTAGCTGAGACCTTGCCTCAAAATTTATTAAAAAAAATTTTAAAAGAGCTATGATGCAGAGAAGTGCAGACTCGGAATTCAATCTCCAGTACCATCAAAAAAAAAAAAATTGGGGGCGGGAGGGAAATGAGAGGATTGTGGGGATGAAAATTTAAAGAATAGGGCTAGGGATTTATGCTCATTGGTTCCACTGCCTGCCCTGCAAGTTCAAGAACCCGAGTTCAATCCCTGGTACCAAAAAAAAAGAGAAAATTTAAAGAACAGCTAAAGAATTTAATTATAATATGGTACACATTCCAGGAATCTTAAAACATGGAAAGAACTCAAGATACACATGTACTTACATGTCCTTTAAAACTGAGGTGTTTTATAGACCAGATTGGTCCCATATTGTGAACAAAACACTTTAAATCACATTACTTTGAAGGCATAACTGGCACAATTGAGAAATTATATTGTCCATTATTGTACCTTTTGTTGTTGTTGTTGTTGGGTTTTTTTGGTACCAGGGATTGAACTCAGGACCTTGCGCCTGCCAGGCAGGCGGCAGAACCACTGAGTTAAATCCCCGGCCCCATTATTGTGCCATTTTATCATAATTTTGTCATTTAATAATGATCAGATCTAGGTATGGGGGTTACAAAAGGAATTTAGGAGCTGCTAGGTAATGTGAACACACACTGAAGAGAATAGAAAATTTAAATAAGCTACTAAATTGTAAACTAGAGATTCAGAATTGTAGGTAAAGATCTTTCAAAGATGAACAATTTCTAGGATTGCTATAAATAAGCACGTAAAAAGAATCAAATGTATTATGTATATGTACCAATTCCCCATGATAAATGTAATCATGTACTGCAAACGTACTAATAAAATTTTTTTTAATAAAATTTTTTTTAAAGGGATGTTTTTTGAAAGTAAATTTTGAAGGATAGGCAGGATTTAGATTAAAAAGAAAAGGAAAGGTATTTGAGGAGCAAGGGTCTGGTGATTACAACAATAAGCATGGCTATTTGGAGGCAGTGAGGAGACTGACACAGAGACAAAATCATGCAAGCAGTGAAAACAAAACAGCTAATGTAGAACCAGGAAAAATTATAATTTGGAAAAGGGGATGAAAGGGAAAGTATTGGTGGTTTGGGGCTTATAGGAGTTAAAAACTTTGGACAACTTGACAATAAGGTAGAAGCTAGAGACTTAAGGAAAACAATTCAGAATCCACCAAAACATGTTGGATTTAATCCAAATGCCTAGCATTTGGTATTTGTCTATGGTGAGTTGTACTCAACATGGTCTTAGCTGTTACCTATTTGTTCCTGATCTTCAAAAAAGGGCAGAAAACATTTTTAAAAATTCTTTTTTATATGCTTTTCCAACTGCCCCATCTCAGATACGAAGCCAGGCTTCAGGAACACTTCACTTTTTACTTCTTTTAACCCTGTCTATAATAGATTATCCATGAATTTTTTTCACTTATTGAAACCTCTTAAAAGGCTACCAATGGTTCTGGCACCTACCTTGCAAGCGCAAGATCCCAAGTCGATCCCCGGTACCAAAAAAAAAAAAGACTACCAAGACAGTGTTCTTGCTGCTTAAATTTGATGCAGGTTTTGTTCTTGATTGACATTATACAACCTTAACCATTTTCCTCCCTCCTTTCCTCCTTTTCTTCCTTCCTTGGAATTAAACTGAGGAGTGCTGGGCTACATTCCTAGCCCTTTTAGTTTTGTTTTGAGACAGTGTCTTGCTCAGTTCCTCAGGCTGGCCTTGAATTTGTGATCTGTCTCAGTAGTGGGATTGCAGGGGTGTACCACCATGCCCAGCTTTTAATCAAAAAAAATTTTTTTTGGTTCCCCACCTCTAACCAATTCTTGAATCATTCCTTTGATTTCTCATCTGTAATTGCATAGTCCTAGAATTTCCCTCCTACTTCAGGCAACTCTTCCATTTTTTTTCATGTTTTTTGAGTGTAGTATGCATGGCACACTGTTTACAATGTGTAGCACTAAAGATAAATTCATGACCTCTTGGTGCTTAGATTTTCATTTGTTGGTTTTCTTTCTCCCTTTGTTTTAGAAATATTGGTATTCTTTGGAGTTCTGCTTTGGATTTTAGTTTTCGGTCTACATTTTTGAGGAGGAGGGGTGTGGTATTGGAGATTGAACCCAGGTCCTATACCACTAAGCAAGCTATGCTCTCAGCCCAGATTTGTTTGCTTTCATCTACAGTAATATGGGTTCTAGTTACTGTAGGAGCCAGATCCCTGTATTAGCCACTTTTCCATTGTTGGCACAAACTACTTGACAACCACAATTTAAAGAAAGAGAGGTTTATTTTGGCTCAAGATTTCAAAGGTTTCAGTCTATGATCTGCTGGCTCTCCAAGGCAGAAACATAGTGGAAGGGTGTGGTGGAAGAAAGCTGCTCACCTCGTGGTACCCAGATCACATAGGACTGCAAAAAGCACCAAAGGAGAGAAATACTCTTCAGACATCCTCAAGTGACTTCTTCCAGCCAGGCCATACTTTTCCAGTGGCACATTCAGTCATGAACTCAGTAGGTTAATCCACTCATGAGGTTAACACCCCCATGAAGTAATCACCTGCCAAAAGCTTCACCTGTGAATACATGATCCTTTTGGGGGACATTTCAATCAAACCATAACAATCTCTAGGATTATGTCTAGTCTAGATATCTGCTATATTATATTCTGGATATCTTACATGGATGACCCTTGTATTGGCTCCATAAATTGAACTCATTTTGCTAAAACCAGTTCCTGCTGTTTTGCCATTTGTCCTGCTATCATTCAGGACATCAGGGCCTTAGCCTTCACTTCTATTCTTTATCTGCCTTGTCGGATTGATGTCTTGTATTCAGACTCTTAAATGTTTTTGTAAGCTATCTACCTCTGCATTTTCACTGTAATTGATGTAACTGTATGTTGTAAAGAGCATTGCATTAACCTTCAGTAAGTGTATTTCCATTCTCACTACTTACTTCCTCTTAGGAAAATAAGCTTTCTCTAGCACCTGTCAGAATATACCTAATGCACACATGTAGTAGATACTGAAATATTTGGGTGAATAGCAGTTATTATGATGAAGTCTGTTTGTTTTATTCCCTCTGTAGACGGTCAACTCCATGAGTGTAAAGAGAGTGTCTATCTTCTATCTGGGCATGGTAGTATATGCCTTTGATCTTCATACTCTGATAGGCTGAGACAGGAAGATCATAAGTTTGAGGCCATAGGCAACTTGGTGTCCCTATCTCAAAACAAAACAGGATTGTGGATGTAGTTTAGTGCCAGTGCCTTGGGTTCAATCCCTAGTACTGTACAAGGGGAGGAGAGGTGTCTTTACTGTATCCTTTCTTATTAATATGTAGTGTTTGTATAATGTCAGAGGTCTATAACTAGTTGTTGACAGAATAGAGATAAGCTAACAGTATAGATTACTTTTGTTTTTTTGAACTTTACACAGAAGCCTTATGTCAATTAATTTATGTTGGTTCTTTCAACATTTGTGAGACTTATCAGTGGTATGTTAGAACTGTCTTGAACTAGCTTCTAAGGACTGATTGTTAAGTTTTTCAGGAACATGACAGCCAAAAACCCTTTGATAGCTTTATATTATAGAAATTGATGGACATTAAAATCTTACCTTTTTTTTTAACGTGCGAATTTGCCATTTTATTTATTTTTCTGGTTTACTAGCACACTACTGGATTTATCCACAATGTTTTACATAGCTGTAAATTATATATTCTCGTTGCTGTGTAGTTTTCTGCTGTTTGAACATGTCCCAGTTCATTTATCCTACTATACATTGGAAATTGAGTAGTTTTTTGATTTCTACAATTAGTACTTCCATGAATAAAGTATTTCTTGTTAGACATTTTTCTGGACTATAGATTATAAATATATTCAACTTTAGTGTAGATACTGCTACACTATTTGGAGCAATTTTCACTCTCACATTTTTATTTCTATTTCAGCCATACTGGTAAATGAGCGGTGATACTGATTCCATAATGGTTTTAATTTTCATCTTCCTGTGACTAATGCAGTTGAGGGCCTTCTGTTTTATTCATCATTTGAAAGTATCTGTTGAAGTTGTCCATCTTTTCATTGGATTGTCTTTAGTTCTCTGTCCTTTCTTGAAGTCTGTCGAGTGTGTGTGTGTGTGTGTGTGTGTGTGTGTGTGTGGTGATTATTTTCCCATTCTGATTGTGATTTTTTTTTTTTTTTTTTTTTTTTGGTACCAGGGATCAAACTCGGGACTTCCCACTTGTAAGGCAGGCAGCAGAACCACTGAGCTAAATCCCCGGCCCTATTGTGATTCTTAATAGAGTCCAATTTATCAGATTTTTACATTTTTGTCATCTCTTTAAGATCTTTGACAGTCTCTTATGATTTCTTCTATAAGCTTTTTTATCATATTTAAATTTTCAAGCCCTGTGGAATTATTTTTGTATATAACAGGTAGATCAGGTACATTTTCTTCTCTTACAGATACATAATTAACTCTGCCTGTATTTTTTTTTTTTCCTGGTAGTGGGTATCAAACTCAGGACCTCTTGTGCTTGGGAGCCGGGTGCAGTGCCACTGAGCTAAATCCCCGGGCCCATCTCTGCCTGTATTTTTTTTTGTTTGTTTGGTACCAGGGATCGTGACCTTGTGCTTGTGAGGCAGGTGGGGGAATCACTGAGCTAAATCCCTGGCCCCTCTGCCTGTATTTTGAAAGGACTATTTTTTGTTTACTGCATTGTTTCCTTTGTTGTTTATCAAGTAACAACATATGGGAAGTGTGAGTCAGTTTATGTATTCTTGCACTTCTGCCAGACTGTCTTAATTACTATAGTTTTATCCTAGGTCTTGATGTCTGTTTCAGTTTCATTCAATACTGCCTTGGCCCTTTGTGTTTGCATCTGATTTTTAGTATAAGCAAGACCTTGCTTTGATTTTAATTGGAGCATTGAACTTATGGATTAATTTATGGAGAATTGACATCTTTACACTATTCAATTCTTGGGCATAGTATGTTTCTTTGTGTTTGCCTTTTACTCCTCAGCAATTTTTTTTTTTTTTTTGGTACCGGGGATCGAACTCAGGTCCTTGCGCTTGTGCAGCAGGCAGCGAAACCACTGAGCTAAATCCCCAGCCCTACTCAGCAAAGCCCTACTTTGTGGCTTTTAATATAAAGATCTTTCATATCTTTAATTAGATTTGTTCCTGGGTCTTGGTTGGTTTTGATGTTATAGTAAATTGTATCTTTTAAAGTATATTTTGTTTTCTTTGTTCTTGGTATATAGAAGGAGTTTTTGTTGTTGTTGTTATTGTGGACTTTGTATCAAGTAGTCCACTATTCATGTATTCTGTCTTTTGGATTTTTTTCATTTATCTGTTGATATTAAATTCACTTGATTTTCTCTTTTAAATAGCTTAGAATTCTCTAAAGTCATAAAAAGAACTAATGTTGGCAGCTAAATATTTAAAGATAGTCTGAGCTAATTTTTTCTTCTAATAATATTTCTCAGAAATACTTAACTTTTTATTCTGTAGGAATTCTTTCAAGTCATCCCAGATTTGGTTCCATCCCTAAACTTATATGTAAGTATGAACAACACTATACTTTTAGCTTTTTTTACCAAAGTAAAATCATTAATTTATACTAAATGTATTGACATACTTATATTAGTTATGTGGTTACACATAACTGACAGAATCAGTGTAAGCTTTTCATTAAATGGATTACTTGGATTTTTTTTTTCTAGGATCAAAAATCATGAGTTACTTGAAAGACTTTTTCCCTTTATAATAATTTGAAATTATTTTTTAAATACATAGTACTTGAAAATAATTCTTGTCTCTATAAGGAAAGAAGGTTGTACAGATATTCTGATTAATCCAAATAAATATATTTAGAATTAAACCTAGTTTTTTTTGAAGTCTTTAAATTTAGCACTGTGGCTAACAAAAAGAAGTTAAATTACTCTTAAAAATGTACCTGAGGCTTTTCATGAATCTTTTCAGGTTAGCCCCTCTTTTATATTAGGAATAGGTTACCCAAGTAAACATTTCAGTTACACTTTGTAATTCATTATTTTAAGAGATTTAGTGTATCTAATTTCATTTTTAAAGTAATCTTGTGAATGTGATATAATTCAGTACCTGGGGCATTGGAAACTTGCTATTTCCTATAGGCTAGAGGTAATTTATTTATTTATTCTCATTTTACAAGAAAAATGGCTTGAATCTCTGTTAACTAGGCTAGAATTTTGATGTGATTCCTTATCTACTCCTCTTTCCATCATACCTTTACTGTATCTTTCCTATTTGTATTAATAATTAGTATATTAGAATTGATTTCTCTTACAACTACTTTATTTTGATTTATTTTATTTAGAGAAACTGAATTATATCCATAGAATCTTTCTCTGAACTCTTTGAATTTAATGAGGTCCTTTTATCATTATTTTAGAAAATCTCAGGTCTTTCTAAACCAGAGATATATTTAAAATAACATGTTTTTTAAAATGTTTGGACAAGATTATTGCCTAAAAAGGCCTATTCAATCCTGCTTTTTGTTTGACTTTATAAATAAGTTGCTTGTATCATGGGATACTTTGCTGGAAAACTTTCTTATGTGAGAACTTGCCAAGAAAAGTTCAAGAATCTTGAAAATTCTCCTCTTGGAGAAGCTTTACGATCAGGACAAACACGACGATCTTCACCACCTGGGTAGGTCACATTCTGATCTTCACTTAAAGTTTTTGATTTTAAGAAAATTAAAAACTTGTTATAATTCAGTGCCTGGGCCATTGGAAACTTGCTATTTCCTATAGGCTAAAGGTAATTTATTTTATTTGCAGAACATTTATTGGTACATTTTAGATACACATAGAGAAATTGTACCAATATATATTTTGATTTTTCTTTTTTTCCCCCCCTTTCCCATCCTCCCTTATGTATAAAAGGAGGTAATTTACTTTAAAAAGTAGAGCAAGACTTGGTTACTGTTCTTTTGAATATGGAGTTTCATCCAGTTGAGAGTACATGTCCTAGAATAAAGGATTTCATCTTGATTAAATTTGGCAAACACCTTTGGTTTACTGTATTTTGGACTTTTTTTGCATCTCCAAATTTTGTTAATATTTAATCCCATCTCAACAGTTTTCAACTTTTTATTGCCTTTAGTTTTTAAAATAGGAAAACGAACAGGAAATGTCTATTTTCTCTGAGATACAGTATATTCATGTTTGTTTTGTTAATCTGGCTTTATACTGTGAATCACAATTTAACTCCCTCTCGTCTCACCCCCATACTGGGGTTAGACACAGGGCCTTGGCACTGAGTTATAGCCCTATAGCCCTTTTATCTTTTGAGACACAGTTTCTGTACGTTGTCCAGGCCGGCCTCTTAACTCACCAGGCTCCTGAGTAGCACCACCATGCCCTGATCATAATTTTTGATTATGTAATTTTAGAAGTGAACTGGTATCATAACTTCTGGTATAAATTAGTACAAGTATTTTGAATAGTATTTTGTCAGCATATTTTGAGATTCATAAAATTTAGAATCCTTTGGGTTCTTTGTGCTAAACTCTTTGAATCCAAAACAAAAAACAACTATAGCCACAAAGTTGTGTACAACTTGAAATAGAAAAAAACTGGACTCAACTTCCAGTAATGGAGAATGAACATTTTCACTAAGTTACATAAATTGATGGGCATTGTGAAGTTACTTAAAATCATGAAGTCTTAAAGCATCATGATGAAATGCTTTTGATAAACTGAAAGGGTAGAATATAAAATTATATATACATAAAATTATCTTTTTCTTATAAAGTATATATTTTCAAAAATATTGATAGTAATAATGGTTGTGATGTATAAGTTTTCCCCTTTACTCCATATGTTCTGTAGTATAGTTCTATTGTATTTTACAAAAAAATTTTAAAACAAGCACTTTTTAAAACTTTAAAATGTTAAAACTTTCAAACTTCTAAGTCCTGTAAAGTAATGTTTATTCTGTTAATAGTTTTCTTTAGACTGTGGTTTAGTTTTTGAATTATATAATATGGATGTATGAATCTGTCTGGATAGGGTAGATAAATAAGTAATGGGTAGATGAGTTATAAATGGCAAACAATGTAAAACCTCATGAGCGATAATATTTTTTATATCTGCTTAACAAATTAGTGTTTTTATTGACTCCTAGCTGTGGAAGTAACTTCCCAATTGATGTGGGAAATTAGACCTCATCTGAAGTACTTCTTTCCCCCCAAGAACTTTAAAACAGATTAAAATTGTCTTCAAAACCCAATATTTAGAAAATTGAACGTTTTCTTTTTCCCCTGTATTGTTGACAGTTTGTAAGTTGAATGAGTCAGTATGTTTTTTAATACTTTTGATGATTGAAACACTTTTTTTGCTGTTAAATACCTGTTAAATTTAGAATTATTTTAGAAACTGAGTAACTTGTTTTTATACCTTAACACATCTTTAAGACAGTGACTCATTTTTCTTATACAACATGATGTTCTTTTACAGGCACTATTCTCAAAAGTCAAAATATGACTCAAATGTGAGTGGTCAGTCCTCTTTTGTGACCTCCCCAGCAGCAGACAACATAGAAAAGGAGATGCTTCCTCATTATGAGCCAATTCCATTCAGTGCATCTATGAATGAATCCACTCCCACTGGTATTTCTGATCATATTGCCCAAGGTAGAAACTTCTCTTGAAATGAATTTCAACATTTTATGGTCCAACGTATGTATAAATTTTATTTGACGAACTTTTCTGCTGGATATCACCTGTATGTTCTACCATGGGCCATCAACCCGCACTCATCTGTCAGCCTAACTCAGCATGTTTATTCCTTTTCTTTGTTTCTTCATTCAGCATTCCCTGAGGACCATAGGTGTCAGATAGATATGGAAGAAGTAAAGATGAACAAGGCTGGTTCTCGTCTTTGAGAAACTGTCTCCCCACTCCTCCTTACCAGGAATTGAATTCAGGACCTTGTGCTTTCGAGGCAGGCATGGTGCCACTGAACTAAATCCCCAGCCCAGAAACTGTCTCTTAGGAAATACAGAAATGCAAAGATAAGTTACTGATAGGTGCTAGTAATTGAAAATACTAACACAAGTTTAGTGGAATAGGAAAGAAGTGATAAATTGTGTTTTCAGAAGTAGACACTTTAAGAAGGCTAAGATTAAATTTAATAGGCTGGTCTTAAAGGCTTTCATCTTCCTTGTCTGTAATGTAAGAACAATTTCCTGCCTCACAGAACTGTTAGGTGAGAAAATCCATGTGAAAATGCATTGTGAAGTTGGTGTAAATACTTAATTGTGAATACCTCACATGTCAGTGAAACCACATCAATTTTGGATTAAGGCCTGGACTTGAATGATTGATATTTGCTAGCTGTGTGACCTTATAATCACAGTCCTGGCAAATAACTGCTTTATAATCCTTTCAGTGTCTTGATCCCTTGAACACAGATAACAGTACCTCTCTGTTAAGAACTGTTGAAATTAGATGAAATACTCAGAGGCAATGCTGACAAATAACAGATTCTCAACAAATGTTAGTTTCCTTTTTTCTTTCAGTCTAGTCTGCAGTGAAAGGTGGAGGATTAGAAACGGGAAGTATAGGCCTCTATAGTTCCTTTATCTAAAATCCAGAAATCCACAAAGCTTTATTTTTTTGGTACCAGGGATCAAACTTGGGACCTTGTGCTTGCGAGGCAGGCAGCGGAACCACAGATCTAAATCCCTGGCCAAAGCTATTTTTTTTTGTTGTTTTACTTTTAAGTAAAATCTGACTTGAGAGCTGAAGATATGTTCGTAGAGTGCTTGTCTAGTATGTGTTAAGACTCTAGGTTTGACCCCCATACTGCTAGAAAAATAAATACAATCTGACCTATACTCATTTGGCAGCAAACCCTGACCTAACCTAGCATAATATATATAAATAGAGCCTTATTTACTTTTCCTAAAATGATTTTTTTTCTATATTCTGTTGGAGAACCATTAATGTTCTTCCCCAAGCCTCTGGATGGATGTTAAGTAGTATAGGATATATACTCTAATGTTTTTCTAAAATCTCAGATACTGATTGTGAAACATGTTTAACCCTGAGGACTAAGATAAGGGATTATAAGTCTCTATAATCTTTGAAAAAAATTTGAAATGAATTCATTAAGGTAGGTAGGTAGGTCAGAATATAAAGTATACACTAGCCACATGTGGCTATGTAAATTAATTAAAAGAAAGTAAACCTTAAAATTTATTTCCTCAGTTGTATTGGTAGCATTTTAATTGCTTAATAGTCATATGTGCTAGTGGCTCCTATATAGTATAGTGTAATGTAGAACATTCTTATTGCAGAAAGTTTTGTTGGACTGTGCTGTATTACAATGAAAGGCACCAAGGTGATTAATAACCTTGCATAAAAGAAGAGACAGGAAATGGATGTTTAGATGATTAAAGAGACTCTAGAATATGGATGAAAGTTGTTGAGAGCCTTTTTCTTCCTCAGCTCCCCTCCTCTCATGGTTGAAAGCAAAGACATCATCATATTAGAATGGGGAGATTTGGGGAGAGTGGTTAAAGTCTCTTATCTCCCAAGGCAGCTGTCCTTGTATTTCACTGTGTCTGATTTTCCTCATCTCATGTTCATATCCATTCATCCTATATTCTAGTCATGCACCAACTCTTCCTCTATACTGAATTGTAGCCCTCTGATCATTTGCATTAGAAAATTTCATGTTATATAATTTCTTTTCCATATAAAAGTTTAAAAGATCCCTTTGTTATCTACCCACAGATCACTGTAAGACTCATTTTAATACTGTTTTATGCTCTCCACAGCAGCCATTCATCTGTCCACTGAGCTGCTCTCTGGCTCCCTTCTCAAAACCTCTTTTCACTGCTTTCCATATAGACCAGCAGTGATTTCCTTTCCTTTACCTTGATGCTTTCCTTTACCAGGGCACCTTCTCCTGTTGTTTAAGTTCTGTTTTCCCCTTTAGTTGTGCTTTTTACCAGGAATCCAAAGAGTTACTAATCTTTTCAAAGCAGAGCACTCCATCATAGCTGTTAGAAGACTTAGAGTTTATTATAGTTAGATTTAAAGCAATGCTGTTTTATATTTTCTTATTCCTTCCAGCTCTTTAAACCTTCCCAAAGCCGTAAATTATATTCTGTACACGATGCAGGATATTTTCATAAGTGGAGAAATTTCCCCCAATCTTACCATCTGATTTATGTTGTCATTTGTTACAGAATTTCAGAATAATACAATATTTTTCTTTTTGATAAGAAAAAATATTAGACCTGGAAGGAATTCTAGAGGTCATGTAATCAAACTATCTTATTTCACAGTTGGGAAAGCCAGTACTGAAAGGAGCTTAGTGATTTGCCCAAGGACCCATTAGTGGTCAGCAAAATGAAGATGACAACCCTGAGTTCTGAAATACACCATATCTCTACTTATGGTGAAGGGAAATGAGTTCAAGAATTACTAATAATGCAGTGCAAGGTGCTTTTAACCCAGTGTGAGATTGTAATATTTTTCTCTACATTGGGGGGGGGTAACGGGATCGAACTCAGGACCTTGCACTTTTGAGGCAGGCACAGTGCCCCTGAGCTAAATCTCTGGCCCACCATTGATTTCTAAATAAGTACTTTTTATAAAAAAAATTTTTTTTAAATGTGTTTTAACTAACATACTATTAAAGAGATATGACTACTTTTTCTCATTGAAAAATAGTATTTAAGACTTTAAATAATAGTTCACTGAATGTTATGTTAGCATTAGTTAATTTCTTTAAAAATGTTTATATGGGGCTGAGGATTTAGCTCAGTGGCAATGGAGCCTGCCTCGCAGGTGCAAGGTCCTGAGTTCGATCCCTTGTATAGGGGGAAAAAATGTTTATATGGGACTGGGGAGGTAGCTCAGAGGTGCCTTGCCTGCCTGGCAAATGCAAGGTCCTGAGTTCGATACCCGATACTGGAAAAAAAGTTTGTATGTTTTTTGTTTTGCTATTTGTATATTTTACACACTATTGTTCCATTTTTGATCCTGACAGTACTAAAGAATAACAACTTCTTTGTTTTTCTTCAGTGTTTGCCTCTTTGATAATATGTATTGTTCACACTTTGACTTTCTTTGGGAAATATAAAGAATAAACGCAGGTTCCCAGGATGAACAGTTGTCACTTTTTTCCACTTCAGTATTGTATCTGTTTGACCAGAGTGATAACAGTCCCACTCTGCTTTAAGGATATGGTTTATACTTTTCAGTAGGTAGTTTCAAGTACTTGTGTTTAAATATACAGATGGAAAATTAATTTTTTAAAGTAACTAGAGTTTGCATATATAAGCTCTTATCAGAACATTTAACTGTGGAAATAAAATCTACATTGTCAAGTTTTGTTCTCTTTCACCAGTACAATACTTCTCTTTAATTCCAAACATAGTGTGAATAACCCAGTTTAGAACACTAGAATTTTAATGAGTTTAAGTTATTTGATTGTATATTATGATACCCATTATCTATCATTTTTCTGGCTAGGGTTTAGGTTTTAAAATTTTGATGTTGATTTTAAGTTTTAGAGATAAAAGCTTAAAAGTATAAGGGAGAGTAGGTTGTTTTTTCTTTATTTTTAAGGGAGAGTAGGTTTTAATTTTATAATTTCCTTGGGAAAGTTTAGTACCTTTAAAATGGTGCTAATAATTTGATCCTTATTTCACTTTATTATTCTGCTTTGTAGATAAGCATTTACAAAATTCAGTTGCTTTGGGTTTATCCAAATCCTTTTATTGCCATTTATTAATTGTTTGTTGTTTTAGGACCTGATCCCAACCTTGAAGAAAGTCCCAAAAGAAAAAATATTACATATGAGGAATTAAGACAAAAGAACAGAGAGTCATATGAAGTAACTTTAACACAAAAGACTGGCCCCTCAGTCAGGCCTATGCAGGAAAGAGAGCCAAAAAAAGAAGGTATGATAGTTTAGTCTGAATCACATAACTCTTAGGATTGGAAACTAAAGCATTAGTTTAAAACATTAATTATACTAATATGATTTAATTATTCAAGCAATTAGCCAAAATAAAATTTTTAAAGAATAATTATCTCACAGTTACCAGTTCTTCCCTTTTTTTGTGGTACTAGGGATGTAACCCAAGTCCTTCACATTGAACTACATCCCCACCCCTTTTTGAATTTTTTATTTTGAGACAGGGTCTTGATAAGTTGCTAAGTTGCCCAGGCTGGCCTCCAATTTGTGAGCATCTTGCCTCAGCCTTTCAGATTGGCTAGGATTTCAGGTGTGTTGCCACCATGCCTGGCTTGCTTTTTCCATTTTTAAGAAGTGTTCCATAGTCCATTTTGTTTTAAAACATAATGAAATTCAAACAAGAAAATAAATCCAAATAGGAAGACTTAAGACAAACTAGTTTTGTAAGTCAAGTACAATGTGGAAATTACACACCCATTTGACTGTTTTTCTTTATAAGAAATCACCTTGGGGGTTAATATCTTTTTCCTAATGCTGCATCTCTTGCATGACCTGAGGTTGATCATTGGGCTGTAATGCCACTTTTGGCAAGGGAGAATAATAATGAAGTTTTTCTTGTGTATTTGAAAGAGTTATGTGCCTTACGGACCAGCTTTTTTTTTTTTTTTTTTTTGGTACCGGGGATCGAACTTGGGTCCTTGCGCTTGCAGAGCAGACAGTGAAACCACTGCACTAAATCCCCGGCCCTCCCAGCCAGTTTTTAAAAAATTTTGAGCTAGGGTCTCACTAAGTTGCTCAAGCTGACCTTTAGACTTGGGATCCTCCTGCCTCCTGAGTAGCTGGGATTATAGGTATGTTGTATCACATCCAGTTCCTTTTTTTTTTTTAGCAATACTAAGTTTTTAAGTTACCTCTTTTTTTCGGTTTTTTGGAACAGGCAAATACTACCCAGAGTCAATTTTCTGACACACAAATTAATCTCTAAAGAAAGAGGTGGTGGCATGCACCTGTAATCCCACTACTGGGGAGTCTGAGTCAGGAGGATCACTGCGAGTTTGTGGCCAGCCTGGGCTAGTGAGCTCAAGGCCAGGCTTTACTACATCATGAGACCCTGTCTCAAAAAATAAAAAAAATAATAAAGAAAGATGACATTATAAATATATGTTCTATTTATTTTAAAAGTCAAGCTGAAGGTGTGGCTCAGTGCACTTGCCTAGCATATATAAGGCCCATAGGTTCAGTCCCTACCACCACCACAAAAAGAAAAAAAAAAGGAATAGGCCTTTGGTTCTTTCTGGAAGGCCATATGCTATAAAATACATGAAAATCATTAGTATTATTATGATCCTTCTTTAGAGCCAGTTTTATTTCGATTGTTCATTTATAATTATTTTTTTAGCAATGAAAATGTCTACACCATAATTTTGATGTAAAAAAATCTAGCTAGGGCTGGGGATTTAGCTCAGTGGTTTTGCTGCCTGCTGCGCAAGTGCAGGGACCCGAGTTGGATACCCGGTACCAAAAAAAATCTAGCTTTCATATAGAGTTGTAATTTGTAGTATTTGATGTTTGTCATTAAGTCTTAGCACAGACTTTATGCATACAGTGGCTGTTACTCTGTAATACGCAAGACTTATTGGTACTTTACTTTGGTAATTAATTTAAGGATTTAGACTGTAAGCTCCATGAGGGCAAGAAGTTGGTGTTTCTCTCATTTTTGTAATCTTTTCTGGTAAGTTCGCATAGCATGGTACCTTGCACTGTTATATCAGAAATTAGTATTTTGGTCTTATGTAGTATTGAAAGGTAAAAAAATGAAATATGTTGTATCTCAAACGTTAGTTAGATTTTGACAGTTGTGTTTTCAACTGTGAAGTCTTGAAGTGTTTATAAAATTATGAACTTTTTTCTTCGTAAAAAGAAAAATGGATTTTCTTTTACATAATTTAAAGAAAAAGACCTGTTAATGGGCCAGGGATGTAACTCAGTGGCACCCAGCCTGCCTGGCAAGTGCAAGGTGCTGAGTTTTATCCTCAGTACCGAAAAAGAAAAAAAGACCTGATTATTTTTTTATAATGTTTTTGAATCCAGACCAGGGTCTGAAAATGTCAGAGTTTTCAGCTTTAGTTGATGTGGATTATATTTATCACTATTTATCTAATTAGCAATCAAGACTGAGCAATTTTAAAAACACAAGTACATTTTCTGTTAACTGTCAGAGCCATGTCACCATATCATATAGGTTCTAGAAAACTGTTATAATCATGAAATAATGAGAACAAAGAGGAATAGGCAGAATGTGAGGGAAAAGGGGTAGATGATGTCCTAGTATAGTAATGAAATAATTTTGACTTCATAGATTCCCTGAAAGGACCACACTGAACTTGTTTGTATTGTTATGATTACTTGAGTCTTCTGAGGAGTTGTAATTCACACAGATGGAGGCCATGTAGAAGAGAAGCCAAAAATAGTAAAAAAGATAGGATCGTGTTTTAAAATTTAACTTTATATAAAATACAGGAATATTGAAAACCATTTCTTTGTAGGACAGCTCCTGGAAGATAAGATTGAATTAACCCCAACTTGAAGACTTGACCATGTTACTGGTGGTTTTGTTTTGTTGAAAACAAAATGTAAATTTATTTTTTAATTTCCTGATAACTTTTTGCTATATATGATAATATGTACCACACTTAGTTGATAAAGTTGTAAAGGCATCTATTTAGGTTTGGTCCTAACTAGACATGCTTCAGTTCTACTTGTTAAGGCTTGTACCTTGGGCAAGTTACTAATCTGTTTTCTCAACCTTAAAGAGGGGATTGTGTTTACTATAAGGTTGTTAATGAGGATTAAGTATATATGCAAAAATACAGGACGTTTGTAGTTCTGAACAGCTTCTAGTTCACAAAAGCTTAGCCAGCCCCTTTTATAATTAAGATCTGACTCTCGTGTGCTTTATTCAAATGAGAGGAAACAACTTTTCATCATAACAAACTTAAGATAGTGTCTTACTTGTTACTGTTTGAAACTATCAATTATTTATGCTTTTTTTCCTAGTCAAAGTAAACAAATATGGAGATACTTGGGATGAGTGAAAAAGTACATCATTGGACATACTGAAGGACTTTCAACATCCAGCTTCAGCTAGGTGATCATGAAATACCTGCATGCTTTGAGCTCAGCAGCAGTCTTCATAAATGCATTTAAAACTAAATTCTGGGTTTTTGTGGTTTGACTTACTATGATATTTAAGGAAAAACACAGATTTTAGCTTTACAATCATGTAAATGTAGTCACCTTGTAATGTAGATCATGTAAATGTAGACTACATTGTGTACTGTTGTGATCATGGTATTATTCTATGATTGCGTACAGTTTGTGAGATTGTTTTAAATTACAAGGCAAAGATACTCTTCTAAAACTATTAAGAGACTGTGATGCTTTAGAATTTGCTTATATGAAAATAGGATGTCTGCATGTTGAATTGGGGTGGGGGGAGCAAGCATAATTTTTGTGTTCCGCTTTGCAATGTTATTTAAAGCCTTTCTCTAGTGTTTGCTGTATTGTGCTGTTTATGGAAAATAATGTAAAGGAGCATGCAACAGCACTCATCTTCATTGATTTTATGGTTTTATTTGCAATTTTAATGTTTCGTTACAAGTAAATGGTGTTTCTTAGAGATAGAAGTTTAAGACATCTATGAATATATAATAAAGATGATGAATATGATTCATACAGACATCAATTTTTGGTAATTAGCTGAATGCCTAAAAACAAGTGGTCATTGTGTTAAATTTCCGTCACTATAATGAAATGCTGTAGATAATCAATTTATAAAGAGAAAAGGTTTATTTTAGCTCTGTATTATAGTTTCTGGTCCATTATCCATTATCACTATGGCTTTGGGCCCATGGAAAGCCGTTACACAGTGGTAGCGTACTTCACAAGCAAAGGAGTGAAGGAAGGAGGAAGGGACTCTTCCCACAGGGCCCTCTCTCAGATTCCACTACTTCCCGATAGTGGCCCTCTGGGAACTAAACCTTATACAGTGGATCCTTGACTTACAAACTTGATTGGTTCCCAAGGGCTGGTTGTAACTGAAGTTGGTTGTAAGTCAATACTGCTGAGATCCAGATGTTTACCTGGGTACACGCTATAGACACCAAGAGGCAAATGAATCTTCTATTAACCTAATTAACCCAAGGTGTTCGTATGTCAGGCTGGTCATAATTTGAAGGTCCATTGTACCTAAGGCCTTTAGGAGACATTCAAGATCCAATGGATAATAGTCGAGTTCCCAAAATGTGCAAATGCCAGAGAAATAAAAATACAGCCAGGTGTGGTAGCGCACACCTGTAACTCCAGCACTTGAAAGCCTGAGGCAGGAGGATCACAAGTTCAGCTACACAGTACAAGGTCAGCCTGAACTGCTTAGCGAGACCCTGTCTCAAAAAAAAAGTTGTATAATTTCATTATGTTTGTTTGACATAAAGTTTGGTTTTGATTCAATTAAATTAAAAATGACATTGCGGTCTTAGGCCAGAAACATTTCAGCTAACCGTCACTGCAGATCATCTCAGAATTTAGTGGCTTAAAACAAGCCATTTATTAGCTCAGTTTTCTGAGTCAAGGAATTAAGGAAGGATTTGACTGAGTGCTTTGACTTTGGGTCTCTTAGGTTCACACATGCTGGTGAGACACGTGCCAGGGCAGAGGGTGCCTGGTCAGCTGGGGCCTGTCTGTGTATCTTCAGGATTTCACTATGTCTCCATGTATTAGTTTGGGCTTCCTCACAGCATGGCACGCAGAGCAATCATGACTTTAGAACCCCAGTGGGAGTGTCCAGAAAGCATGTCCAGAGCTGCATCACCTTTTGTGTATGACCCATCTCTGAGTCATGTAGCATTATTTTGGCACAAGCCCGCTTATTAAAGGGCAGAAATGTGTAAACTCTCCACCCATTAATATTTTAGAATGAATGGGATGTTGCAATCATCTTTTCAGGTCTGCCCTTTGACCCCAGTAATTCACATCTCTCATGTACAAAGTAAATCCAGTGTCTTTCTCAGGACCTCCAATTCATATCCCATTTATCAGCCTGAAGTCCAAGAGCACATCATCTAATCAGATTCAAGTATGGATGAGGCTACTTATTGCCCCTCAGTCCAAAGGCCCGAGTTATCTGGCTTGCTCACCTCAAATACTCTAACCTAGTAGGGATAATATAACTATTGTAGGCATGCCATCGAAAAAGGAAGAATAAGTCATATGTCAGCCAATGTGAAGCACATGCCTGTAATCCCATTACTCTAGGAGGCTAAGGTGGGAGGACAGTGAATTTGGTTTGAGGCCATCCTGGGCAACTTAGCAACTTAGATCCCATCTCAAAAAAATAAAACGGGCTAGCTCAGTGTGAAAGCCCTAAATCCAATGGCCATTTCCACCAAAACTGAAAACAGTTTGCCAGTTATTTGTCCATAGCAGTTCTGAAGTCCAGTCAGCCACACCCTGACTAGAGCTTCAGAGTATTCTGTGGTGTTTATTCTAGACTCTTGACCCACCCTCTAAATCCTGCACAAAGGCAGCAAATCTTTGCAACCAACTAATATTCTCAGTCTACTTGCTTACAAATTTGAGGATCCAGTGGCCTTTTACAGCAGTCCTGCCCAAGCTAATAACCCTACCCCCTCTTTTTAAACTTCTCACATCAATTTACAGTCAACTCCATTACACAGAAGCCACCTGTGAGTCTACTGAAAACAGCCCTCTTATGTTGGGCACCCTGTGGGTCTGATAAACATCTTTCAGATTCTAAGAAGCCTTGGGCGGGTCGTGCAAGGCATGCTGTCCAGTTAATCTTGTCCATTTGACTGGATTGAGCTGGGGACATGGCTGGGGCATGGGGACACATAATAGATGAATCGACTGATGTTTATAGCTGAATGTCCTCTTATGGTGGGAGGTGGGGTGCCTTTACAGGAAGTGGATCATTGCCTTTGTAGGGTATACCTCTTGCCATTGCTCTTGTGCTGGGCTTCCCTCCAGCTGCCATGAAGTAAGCAGCTTGTCTCCACCACAACCTTCTGCCATGTTCCAGCCTCGGAGCCTGCCAACCGTGGTCTGAAACAGAGCCAGAATTAAACCTCTCCTCCCCTAAGTTGTGGGTAGCAGGTTTTTTGTACCAGCAATAGGAGAGCTAATACACATGCTTTTTTTTAATTCTTTTTTTTTTTTTGGTACCGGGGATCGAACTCGGGACCTTGTACTTGCAAGGCAGGCAGCAGAACCACTGAGCTAAATCCCCGGCCCTACACATGCTTTCAGGACACACAGGGAGGTGTTTGTCTGAAATGTCTTTGGCACTATTATCTTTCTGAGATCTTGAAAAGAAACTTCTCACTTTGGATTTAGTCTTTGCTTGGAAGCCATTCTGAATATGAGAACACTTAGCTGGCTGAAAGAACTGTTCTGAGCGTTTGTGTTTTCTTTAAATTCCATTTGGAAACAATAATTTGTTCCTTTTATTATGTCTCTCTCATTTCAGGGGAAAAAAAATTCAAGTGACACCTGGCTCAATGCTGCCTGGAAATCTTAGCTAAACCAAGTTCATTAGGCACATTGTCTATTTTCTGTGATACCATAAATAACAGTTTTAGTAATCCTTCATTGATAGATTCCTTTTTTATTTCTATTTTTTGATATTACATATACATTTTTATAATTGATTTTTACCTCCCAGGTTCTCCTTTTGTTACTCTTCCATTCTTAATCCCATTCTTTCCCACCTATATGTAGAGGTGAGAGCCTGTCTTTAATAAAATAAACCACTATTTGAGGGTTGTATTTTATAACATTAAAATTTGCTCCTGTAAAACATTTAGTCAACAAAAACTCTGAACACCTAAAAACAACACCACAAATTCAGAAACCAAAGGCAGAAACAATGGTTTTTTTGGTTTTTTTGTGGTACCTGGGGTTGAACTCAGGACCTTGTGTTTGCAAGGCAGGCTGGCACCACTGAGCTAAATCCCCAGCCCTAGAAACAATGTTTTATAGTGTGGATGATACCATACTCAACCTGTTGAATCAGACTTTGGACTGAAAAAAATATCTGAAAAGACAGTTCTATGAAATTGAAAGGAGGTAAGTGTATAATGTACTACACTGAAGTTCAGCATAAAATGGGGCGACCTGACTTAAAAGTAGGTCATGTGTAAAAGCCTTGTCAGAGCTGAAAGTGTGAACCAATAATGTCCTTAGGCTCCATTAGTGGTAATGTAGTTGTAATAGTTAATATCCATTAGTACTCTGAGCCATGTGCTGTTCTAAGCATTTTATGAGTATCAGCTCATTGAATTCTCATGAACAACCTGTCAGGTAAATCTAGTATTTATATTCTATATGAGGAAACTGAGGTTCAGAGCAGATTTTAAAAAAACAACCCCAAGGTCAAGTAGCTGGTACATAATGGAGCCTGGATCTGAAGCGTAGGGCTGACTTGGAGACATGCTTGCTAACAGTCCCAGGGCCTGAAACAAAAGTGTGATGCTCCCACTCTCCTCTGAACTGCTCACTCCATTTCTGGGGTCTGTGTCTGAGGACACACACACCGAATAGTCTCCTGAGATAAGACTGTGACTCAATTGCAAACCTACTCCAAAGGTTGAAAAAAATGGGGTCCTTTAGCCAGAATTTTGAGAAAAACAATTTTTCAGGACTTAAAGGCTGTCATGTGAAAGAAAAGTAAGAATTACATTTTGTAGCCACAGGAAAAGTACAGATTTAGACTGACATTTACAAAGTGCCTCAATCTGCAAACAAAACAAAACACCGTAGGGATTCAGAATAAGAAAACACCACAACAAAACACTAACCCTAACCCTAACCCCAACCCTGATTGCACTGCGGCGCAGGAAGTGTCCATTCCCGGAGAACATAAGCAGGTTCTGGAGTCTCACCTGCCAGCAACAGTGCAGAGGGACTTCCGCAGGGAGTGGTGAGAGGTTGGAGTGGACCTCAAACCAAGAACTGGTGATGAGAGGCTGGGGATTTAGCTCAGTGGTGGCACACCTGCCTCACAAAGTGCAAGGTCGTGAGTTTGATCCCCAGTACCAGGGGAAAAAAAAAGAACCAGTGATGAGACTATAAGGTCCAGAAAGGTGGGCTTTTACTGGCTGTGGAGACTCAATATTCTTATAGGGCCAAGAATGTAGCTCAGCAGTGCAGCATCTGCCTGTCAAGCATGAGGCCTTGAGTTTGATTCCTGATACAAAAAAAAAAAAATTGAATATATAATTGTCCCATGGTATGATCCACTGCTCAGCTGCTAAATTCTTCAGAAAGGTGCGAAAACATTTAAAATCTAGCCAGGCATGGTAGCGTACACCTGTGATGTGAGTTCAAGGCCAGTCTGGATTACATAGGGAGACCTTGTCTCAAAAAAACCCAAAACAAACAAAAAAACCCCAAAACATAAAAATAAAGAAACCATTTTAAATCCAGAAAATTTCATTTAAAAACCTTCACTTGTTTTGAAAAATTGGAATGTTTGACAGGCCCAGATATTTGTGTGGGGGGAAGTGAATAATATGCTTGTATTTAATATGCTACTATTCCAGCTTTACTCAATTTCTTTATCAGTCTGACTTTGAACTTTGAAGCCTCTGGATTAACTACTGAAATCTCTGCCAACCCTAAATATCTACAAAATCAGCCTTATATCTGAAATTTGGAAAAATCTT